TTTGGCAGCCTTCACGCCAATTTTGATTGAAAGGTTTGTCCTTTTCCTACGTCGTAGTTATATTTTCATTGCCGCCCAGATTATCGTTTTCGTGCCCAAGTCGATTTGCGTGGCGTACGTGGGCGTCAATTGCAAGTCTTTGCTGATATTTGCAGAACAATTGGAGGTGTGTTCTCCTGCCTCAATGTCTAACGAAGACCCCGGTTTCGTCCGCCATAGGAGGGATCCGTGCATGCTTCGTTCTGCATGTCAGCAAGTACAAATCAGACATGCATCCAATGAACATTTTTTGAAATCCATGCTTTCGAAATGTATGTAGAAGCAGGACATTGTGTACAGATTTTAAATGTTAGACAGATAGGCATGGTTTTTTTGTATTACTAGTTTTACTGCAGATTTAGGCCTCGCACAATAAAGTCTGTCGACGCATGCGTGAAGACCATACGGAAATACTTAAAGTAATTGAACAACAACAAACGGCAACCATGATTCAGCTTATAATTATATCTTGCCCTGCATCAGCACTAAGCACAGCATGGCACTCAGGACAGTGCCGCAGCCGCTGGTGATGGCCGTACCCGGTTCTACCACTCTCGGCATTCATGATAATTACATGTAACATGTTCAATGTGCAAATGATTATGTAGAACACTAATAGGCTATCCTCGTACACTCCTCACTAGAGTCCGTTCTAAACTGCTTTCTTCTTCAGTGAGGACTACTGTACAAGCTGCATTATGCAGAGTATCTGTTGCTACCGGAGTGTGTAACCAAAACAAACAGGTTATTATTCTGATGCGAATAAGATACACAGCATCACGCATCTTCATGACCGTGCCATTCCTATGGAGCTGGCTCAGGGCTCGATGGCAATGCAGTTCACCCGCAGAATTGACAGATGTCCATGAATTCATTTTAAAATAACAAGTCGGTCAAGTGAGAATTCAAGTCGGCAGGAATAGCTCAAGCTCCCACGTAGGGAGCAACACACAATTCCACAAGTATCGCCGAAGTCGCATCAGCCTCTTCTTCACATTAATTACAATATGGCGAATTGAATCAAAGCTGTAAGAAGCTAAATAATTCTGTGACTTGAAACAAGCATTGATAGAAGAATAGCACCTATAGCAGGTCCATGTGCTTTAAAAGTTAGAGACTGGAAGATATCCTCTATTTGTACACTAACAACACCAACATGGAAGCATTGCGGGCAACCAACTCCGCCATGCTATGACACTTGATGATGTATTGTGGTACTTTGCTTATCACTGCAAGCCCACTGGTTGACTTGACCAACATCCATTGCTTCTTTCATGACGAAGATCAGCAGTGCAACTGTGGCAATAAATATCACCACCTCCAATGCCGCACTTATTGGAGGAGCACATTCTACTGGAAATGAAACACTTTAATGTCCAGTTAGTGCTGATCTGGAATAGTATGGAGAGCAGGGTGGTGAAGGGGTACACGCAATTTCAACATCCTTGCCGATGAGCACTGTGGAGCATGTGCAATGCAGAAACTGCTGTCCAATAGTATACAGAATCTGATTTCCAGCAATCCTAAAATCCTCACATTGATCCCCAAGGTGAAGAGCGCACGCATGAAGAGACGTACATGTAGCTGCTATGTCATCAACTACGCGTTGAGAGAGTAGCAGACGATCGAATTCTATCCTTCTCCTTCGCCAAGATGAATTGCAATCAGTCTAACGATTTATTTGTGCTCTTTTCTTATGCACGGAAATCTGGCTGTAAGCTGTCCTCAGGGGAGAACATGTTCTAGAATAAGAGCAGTGGGGTTCCATCTGTTCACGTCATGAAGGTAGCGAGTCAAGCAAATGTGCCCCCTTCTTGTTCCGAAGTTTCAAACACACCGAATTCCATGATGCACTACATTACTAGAATTTATCACACTGCATCGTCTTGAAAACAATTCCTGTATTGACTCCAGGACGTACTAACTTCAGTACTTTGCCAAAGGGAGGCTTCCAGGTCTTGGTAGACTTATTCTTCTCCAGCATGGCCTCATACGACCTCTCCAAGGCACGAATCCATCGCCCCAAAAACAAAAACTTTCTTCGATAAATTTGAAAAATGAGCAGAAAGACTGCACGCGTCGGTCGCTGTGCGAACGCGAGCTGTTGCGATGCGGGTTGCTACGGTACGCCGCCATATTGATAAGTCGCATTCGGAACAGCCCTGGTTTCACAAATAACTGGCTAAAAGCTCTAGCAGATCTTGGATGTGCACTCCAACAGCCTTCTAACTTGGATGGTTCTAAGTTATAGAAATAACATCAGGAGGGGAAGGTGAGCGCTTGCAAGATAAGCACGAGCTGAAAGTCTCCGCTGTGAAGGACGTTGGCGGATGTTCATGCATTGCGATGACAATACTGGCAAGACCAATGGACAATAAGGTCAAACCACGATTCAAGATGTCTCAGTACTCTGTCAGTTTTGTGCCTAGTTCTTGCACTTTCTGACTGTACATAGTATTGTTGAAACGAGCATATCTATAAAAAAAGAACGAACAGTTCCACTAATGAGCAAGCTATCGAGCGAGCTAACGAGTTTCATTGATGTGGCAAATATGAATTTTTGAATTACTTTTTTCTAAGTTCGATTTTTCCAGCTGGTTCAAATTATCACTGCAGATTATCACCACTGGCATAATTGGGGTTGCTGCTGCTTCACTTTGGAGTGCTGTTTGGTATCGAGATGTCTTTTCGGCGCCGTGGTTAAGTACCGTAAAACGACAAACTTTCGCGGCGGCTAAATTTAGCGTTTTGTGAAGGACGTTGGCGGATGTTCATGCATTGCGATGACAATACTGGCAAGACCAATGGACAATAAGGTCAAACCACGATTCAAGATGTCTCAGTACTCTGTCAGTTTCGTGCCTAGTTCTTGCACTTTCTGACTGTACATAGTATTGTTGAAACGAGCATATCTATAAAAAACGAACGAACAGTTCCACTAACGAGCAAGATATCGAGCGAGCTAACGAGTTTCATTGATGTGGCAAATATGAATTTTTGAATTACTTTTTTCTAAGTTCGATTTTTCCAGCTGGTTCAAATTATCACCGCAGATTATCACCACTGGCATAATTGGGGTTGCTGCTGCTTCACTTTGGAGTGCTGTTTGGTATCGAGATGTCTCTTCGGCGCCGTGGTTAAGTACCGTAAAACGACAAACTTTCGCGGCGGCTAAATTTAGCGTTTTGCAAACTGGACCAGTTAGCGGCGATTAATTTTAGCGATTTTTACCTTCCACCGAAAATCAAAGAATTGTATTTTACGAAGCCTCGGAGTGCTGGGCGCAGAGTGCATGAAGAATGAGAGAAGAAATCAAAGAATGAAAGAAGGAATCAAGGAATGTAAGAAGGAATCTTACTCTTTTCCATGTTAGCCATGGTTGGCTATAAAACCCTTCAATCGCCACGCAAAGTGGTCATTGGCTACCCCAGCCATGTATTACTTGGGATAAATAAAATAAATAAATCAAAGCATCAAAGAGAACCATAAGGTAAGTACTAGTACTGGGAGAAAGGATGGCACGTTCGAAGAAGGATCATCGGAAGACTTTCTCTTCAAACTGCTGAGCCACTGCGATGCTCATAGAAGACTTCTTCGAGCAGTACAACACTAAAATCTACGCAACAGCAAGCTGGCCAAACGCTCCAAGAAGTTCAACAACACTCTCCACAATACTGAGACATTCTCTAATCGATCGTTTTATTCTCTTCTGGTTCAAGTCGCCGTACTCCAACGACAACTAATGTTTCAACGGTGACTTGCAAGACTGGTGTTGGTACGTAACCCGTCGTTGCAACAGCTGCGCGCTTTGGTTGGACATAGCCGGCCGTGCAAGCATCGATCAGCGCTGTTAATGTACAGTCAGTGCAGTGAGTGATGCATGCACATGTACGGTACAGATTTGTTGCAGAACGATCGATCGTACAAATTTATTTCGCGTGTCAAACTTTCGCGATTCGACCCTGCTCGCGAAAGTCGCGAAAGTTAATCTCTCGCGAAAGTTTGTCGTTTTACAGTAACCTTTGTAAGAATAGACCGTTTTGCAAAGATTGCAAGTAGCCCTGGTCTTCGCTGCATCGCGGGAGAAAACTTCCAAACGACTGAGCGTAACTTTCACTCAGATGCGAAACAAGACATCAGCAGAGTCCACCAAAGCTGCAACGACAACACAAACAACTCAAGTGTCGCGCAGGCATACAGACACTGTAACTGCGAGTGATTTCACATGACGCGGGACTGGACTCTCTATCGACCAGGGAATCGTAACATATTTTACGACTCCCCGGTCGACATGTACTGCCATGTGTACGGAATACGGTGTATGGTGTTCGTTAGTGCAAACGAGCAGGCCGCACAAACGAGCCGAGTTTCTGGCGAGCGAGCTAACGAGTACCCGTTGAGATCGTTTTAACATTAGTATGTAGTATCTAGTTAGAGTGATGGAGAGTTACTCTTAACTCGAATTCAAATGTCCTTTTTCATTTCTACAGTTATCGTTGGTTCAACATCCGACTTTAATATATTTATTCTCTTACCCTTGTGACTTCTTTCACTTGTGATTTTTTCTCCTCTCCTCTCCATTACTTTCCATTACTATTATCAATAACCTTGCCATGCGGTGTATGTCGCGCACATGTATAAAAGGAGGCGCCATCGCCTGTTTGTGTAACTCTAAAGCTGGTTTTCCAACTCGGCAAATCAGTTGATCTATGCAACTTTGTGCCTTTGTATCACCTTGACGTTTGTATAGCAAAAGGCATGCAACAATGTTATTGAAAAGACCCTAATGTATTATCTGCATCAAAACTTGTTTCATTCATTCAAAAGGATCAAAAGATTAACTCCATCATTGAATAATGTTCAATGTGAAGACTTATATGGGCACAAGTGCTGAAAATTTCTAATTACTGCTTTGAATACGTAAGTTAAAGCTTTCAAATGCAAGACCATGTAGAACTCACATTTCGGCAATGTTTGGGCACGACATGACAACTCCGTTGCTACATGTACACGAACCACAGGCTTTGGAAGGTTCACTCCAAGCTAGCACCATACAAATCACAGCCACCGATAAGACCTGCGAATATCCAAAGGAAATGACCAGACGCACAACCAGAACAGAACAGAAAACGTTCTGGTAGAAACTCAAAAATACAACACAGCAGTGTTATCAATTACCTAAACATAGTATTTGTATACGTACACAAGGACGCTAAACATTCTAATTTTGCGGACAACATGAGAAAGTCAACGCTGAGGTGCAAAAAATATAGGTAGAATCTGGATAAATCAAACCCCAGTATGCCAGGGCATTCCAATTATCCAACCCCCAGAACATATGCCCGTTTTCAGGTTCGAATTACCAGACTTTGCTATTCCCGTAGCTATGCAAAAGGTGTAACTTCAGTAACGTATTGCGCTAGCCAGGGTCCACACAGCTTTAATGCCTTGTGTTTGTTTGTTTGTACCGTCGCGTACGTTGGCATGCCTGGCGCTATCCCGTACCTGTCTCGTACCGTACCATCAGAGACAGCTGGCCACAATATTCAAATAGGGCTTTTAAATGCAAGATCATAACGTGCAGCAGCTTGGAAGAATGAGTATGTATGCGAAATGTATCGGGGGGATGCATACGGTGCGATTGTGCGGGTTCGAATCCTAGGTTATGTCTTGAGTAAATTAGGAGAGATGAAAAATTTATAACATCACTATGCTTTTTCGCCTTGGTCATCAAGGTGGTAGACGGTGTCGTATTACCTTCGAATGCGAAGAGAAAGTTATTCTATTTCGCTCAGGGCCCTACGCTATTCTTTTTTGCCTAGCTCATCTTGCATGTTATTCGAACAGATGGAAACTTTTGCAGTACAATTATGTAGCCGATCAGTTCGTTATGGTTTGGTTGGGCATTGTAGCCATCATGGTCGAAGTAAAACACTATAGCCAATTAATGGAGAAAAAAACATTTCCATCAGTTCTAATAACATGCATGAGCTAGGCCAAAAAAAGCTTAGCGTAGGACCCTGAGCTTCCAAGCTCTCTCATGTTAATATCAAGAGTAGTAAAATTACTATTGAGCTGGCTTTAAACTTTGATAAGGCCCTTGGCGGCAACGTTGCTCATTGGTCGTTTCCTGGATAACGAGACAGTCCTCATTCTAAAAAAAAAGCATAATACAATATTGAGTGACACGTTTCCTATTCTTTAGTCCGCTATACTACAGAAACCCATTTAGCAGAAAAGCATTTAAAGGAAGCCATGATGCGCTTCTAGCAGGGCACAAAACTGAAGGTGGCTGGGCTAGTAGTAGTAGAAGTAGTAGTAGTGTTTATTAGACTAGGGAGTCCCAACAGGCATGGCCCCGCCATTGTTACAGGGAACCCTAGGTGAATCTTTGTGAGGTGAGCAAATGTATCAGCAGATTGTGCCCGACGACAATTTGGAGGAATAGCATTCCACCGACCTGCCGCCAGAAATGAAACCGAGTGCAGTCCATACTCAATTTTTACAGTAGGTAATACGAAGGCAGCTGTATTCTGGCCACGAGTACGAGCATTTGTGTGCAGGCCAGCTGAACGCAGGGTAAACAGTGATTGAAGGAGGTGCTAGGAATTGATGACAAGTAGTGATAGACCAAACCGTATAGTTTCAAATTAACTCTTTACTCAAACAAATACAGATGACACAGTTGTAGAACTAGTTGGGGTCATTCTACAGTTGGGGTCATTCTATCTAAACCAAATGCATTTTTCATCGCAATGTGGCTGACCGTTACCAGCCTGGGTATATGGGATAGTTTTCAAACAGTGCACATACGCATTACTTGCATATCCTAAAAAATCATCGATTAGTATACAGAGGTATTTCACAGTAGAGACAGGGGAAATGACAATATCTTTACAGGTCAGGTACACTTTACAAGGCTGGGCTCGTGCAGGCAGGGCAGGACGCCGCATCAACATGACCTGTGTCTTAAAGGTGTTGAACCGAAGGCCATTTTCATCGAGGTGATGCTCTAGGCACCGCATACTATCCTGCACGCGTAGCATGATTGTAGCCACATCAGAGCCGGATACGTAGAACGCAATATCATCAGCGTGCAGCTGCACCATACTCTCGCGAATAAGTTCGGGTATTCGGCGAAGGTACATGCAGAAAGGCAATGGCCCAACAACAGACTCCTAGGGGACCCCTCTTGTACAGGGTTTGGTGTCACCCTTGTAACCACTGACAGTAACCTGCTGACTGTGATTCGTGAGATTGTCTGAGAATCACTTGAGGACAGTGTTGCCTACGCTAGTTGCGGCTAGCTCATCCAGTAGACCTGTGGGGTGCACACGGTCGAACGCCTTGCCCATATCTGCAAAGACTTCTAGTCAAGTTCTGTCTATGCAAAGTGTCAGGACATCCTCACAGCTATGATGTGAGAGGTACGCAAATTGTTCAGCTGCTATGGCAGATATGTCTGGATTCTGGGTGAAATACGAAGTGACTTAATTGTGGACAATCTTCTCTAGGATCTTGGCAGCGATATGTAACAATGAGATTGGTCTGTAGATGGTGGCTGAGGTCTTATCACCGGATCTGTAAACAGGGAAGACACGGGCAATTTTGTAGGCAGCAGGAAAGATGCCAGACCTAAGGGACTGGGGGACGATAAAAGTTAGGGGATACGAGACTTAATCTCTGCATTATTTCAGGTTGCCGGACGGAATATCATAGGAGCCGGTGGCTTTCCTGGATGCAAGAGATTCAAGCAACTTCGAGATGGCATCGACGCTGACAGTATCGAACTCCAAAAGGGTAGCGCCATTGGGGTCTGCAAGAGGCAGGGGCACCTCGACTGGTCTGGCAGGGTCATGGACGATCTCGGCAAAGGCACTAGTAGTCGTCAGATCAGCGAGTGTGGCTGCTGGTGCAGCCCTCACTGCTGTTCTACCAGACTAGCTATTGAATCTGGCCCATTAGCCTCGTGGGTCATGGCGACGATTTTCGAACTCTCTGATGTAATACTGTGACTTCAGCTGCCTATTGAGGAGAGTGCCTTCTCGCTGTATTGCACGATACATCTGCCGAAGCTGTTGATCTGACGGGTGAGTGCGTACCTTTCTATGTTTGTGGATTCGTTGCTGGAGGAGGTGTTTCAACCGAGGTGTCTAGCCAGCTACCGACTCTGGAATGGCCTGCCCGATAATATGAAGTTCCTAGTATCTGACGGTGGATTCAAACGCATGCTACGCATATTTGTTTTCGGTTAAATGCAATGGATTTCGTAACCTGCTGATGAGGCTTTATAAAATCATACTACGATGACCCGACTTGTAAATTTGACATCTCTTTTTCTCAGATGGAGAGCCAAGGAACATGGAAATCGATAGCATACCTTGTGTCCACAATTTCCCATGTTTATAATACAAACCTTTTTCCTGCTCGTCCTAACCCTGCCTCCCCTCACTGTTACTTCCATTTGCGTATTATAATTATAATTTTACTTTCTCTTCATCTCTGACTCTTTTTACTGGTTGTCATCGCTTTCATAATACCGTAAAGTACCGTTGATCCGCCCCCTCTCTAATTCCCGCCGCCTGTCGATTTTCTACCTGTGAAGCGATTTCGGCGTAGACAACGAAATACGATGTCGAACCGACGCTTGCACTGTTGTACTCAGGATGAGAATGTGCACAATTTAGCACATCGAGTCTGATCCTCCAAGTTGTTGTACATCGTACTGCACTTGACAGCCTTGATCTAATTCCCCCCCCCCCCCCCCCCCCCTGTCGAAAAACCAGCTGGGAAACGGCATGGCGTGGGGGCGGATCAACGGTACTTTACGGTATTGGGCAGAACTGCCCGTTTGACATGCGATGTATATTAAATAAACAACAAAAACAACAACAGCTTGCTCACTCCATAAAATATCAATATGCCCCACAACACATAGGCATGCTCAACACCCCCGCTCAAGCTACGGCCCAGTACAGCCTTCGATACGCACGCACTTGGCACCTCCCACCCTCCTGAACCGATCGGTGTAAAGACTCCCCACTGTACATGTCCCTAGAATACTACAATGCTCCCCCCCCCCCCCCCTGCTAGCATTCATGACGTCTCCTCCCGACCTGCTTTCAAACAAGAAATCTGCTCACTGCCGATTAACTCAATCTGCTCCTGCAGCGCCCACCCTCTCCCATACTTGTTAAGTTCAAAGTGATGTAAATCACTTTCCAACTGTTTAACCCACAATTTCTTCTTCTCATAAATGTATCTCTTCTTGGCGATGGTGCCACCGTGAGCATAAAGAATTCAAACAACTTTGGTGCATTTTTGACAACATTCACATCATCTTTGTTCAATATGCGTACATGTTGCGAACTACACCCTTGTTTGGTTCGATTGGGCCAGCGTTGCTCGGACTACACCGTGTGCCCACACTCAATCCAGATTTGCCAATCGATGAGACCCTGCTGGAACATTTAATCCGCTGCTTGTTATGACCAGCACGAGCGGTGAAAATACAATATGAGATTTAGACCACGTGTTGTGTGAAACTTTCGCTGTTTGCGGATCTACAGTTGTGGCAAGTGAAATCCGACACTTGTCATAGGGGACAGCGCCACGAATGGACACCAATGATGTGATGCACTGCACCTAATTTGTACTATAGAGCCGTATGCATTCCAAACAGATCGAAAGGTCACAGTGTAGATACACACAGTTCACAAACATGGTACACATAAGGAGTATTGGTATCCAATCCCTATTCATTTTTGCCAGCATCTTTTGAACCTTGACTGTGATGAGTACGAGTTTTGTCATCAGACAGATAAAGTTGTATGTAACACATGTACGAGGTGGTTCGCAATTTTTGGACATTTCGTAATTTTTGGAAAAATCAGTTAAAATTAATATGGAAGTAGAATCCTCCTGAGTTGTTGTCCTTTCCTTGGTGGACAAATCTTTGACAAGAGTGTCTTCTTGTGCTCCTCAAGTTTCTTTGTGCCAATTTTTAGCGGTGGAGGCCGTTTCTTTCTCGGCGATTTCTTTATTATTCTTAGGTAATGTAATGAGTAATTTTGAAAATTTTGATTAAATAATAAATGATTGAGGATTCCGTTGACTGTACGTCGCATAACGGAGAGAATGTCGACATGGGGGATGTTGTATCCCTTCCATCAACTCCAGGGACTACGTCTTTGAGCCGTTGAATCCGCCTGGAAGAGTCTTCTCGCCTTCTCAACCGGTGCGTTTGTGGAGGGGTTCTGGTCAGGAGAAATCTCTTTTAACAGTGCGAGCGTTCCGCTCACCTGGCACCAGTGAGCACTTCCTAACCAAGAAGGACGCAGCGGCTAGTTACGGCGCTAGCCCTCCACTCTTTGCGAAATATGAGAAGGAGATGGGCCACACTGGAGTGCTCTCCTCTGTTCTTGAATATTACGTCCGTGAAAAACCTTTAGTGACCCTTTAAATTGTGTGTCACATTGAAAAGCCTTGAAAAGCTTGCTATGGCCTGTCATTAGAACTCATATCAGCCGGTCTCATAGGCATAGCCTTACCCCATTTTCATGTCCTGGGCAAGTTTTACTTGTTCACACCATTGCAGACTGCTGCTAGATGCTATTTAATTTAGTTGTCCAATAATTGCTCGCATTGAAAAAGCAGTAGAAAAAGACACCTTCAATGGTTTGGTTGGGTTTCGTTTTTATTAGTTCAGTTCGTTACCTCAACAATACAAAGTACAAATATCAAGAGGGACGAACGAAAAGAGAAAATAAAACAGAGCAGAGAGGAAGATGCAACCGAAAGGAAAGAAAAACGGAGAGAAACGGAGAAGGAATGTGGGCTGGGCGGATTCATGAACCATTTCTAGAGCAGGGCAATGCATGAATCAGGTCAAGTTGTGACCGCATGCTTCAACTCTATGCCTTCAGGTGTGTGGGGTGGTTGTAAAGCATAAGTGTGCCAGTAGAAAGCAAGAAAGAAATTTAAGTTATATTACAAACCAACATAATAGGGTGCTATTTAGAGTGTCCAAAAATATCAAATGACCTCGTACTGTCCGTATGCAGGGCTGCAGGGGCTGAAGAATGCATGGTGCAGTCCCTTATGCTAAGTGTTGGATTTCAATTGCCACAACTGTATTAAAGGGCATGCCGATTTGCTCTTAGGGGTCGTCCGTAATTATCGAAAAATTAAAAAATCCGCCCTGGTACAAAATTCTCTCTTACCCACCCACCCACCTCCCATTTTTTCCATTATTTTTTGATTTTTACCGATGCCCGGCTCGAAAGTAAGAACTCCTGAGTCCTGACCCTATGTTTACTGATTGCACCTACATGTACATGAATGTCAAGTACTAGTAGCTAAGTAAAGTGAGTAGGTCTACCGACGGCCATGCACGTCCTACAACTACAAAAGAGTCATGTACCGGTATATCATACTGGTGTTTGCGATCCTACACTACGTCTACAGTGCACTACATGTCAGTGCAACAAGTGTATGAAAGTCACTGACGAAAAAAAAAGTACGAAAAATCGATAAATTAAATTCCGCCAGCGCTCTTGACCAGGCAGTAGTACAATATATGGTATTTTCGATTTTGACAGCATGTTACAAGGCGAGGACGCGTAGTGCTCCTGACTACAACCATAAACCAGTTGGCAAAGTCCAAAAGAAAAAAAAGAAATATAAATTACAAATAATTTAATTACAGAGGAAGACAAGAAAATAACATCACAAATCCTTCCAGACGTGATCCCTGCAGCGGCAGCAACGTGAACAATACTACGGCGGCAACACGACGACTTCTACAACACAAAAAACGAAAATTATAAAAATCCTACCAACCCGTAGAGTAACGAGGGTCCGAACCTGGGTTTTCCCAATACGGTTCAAATGGTCGCAAGACCGGGACTCTGCCAACCGGTTTATGGTTGTAGTCAGGAGCACTACGCGTCCTCGCCTTTTAACATGCTGTCAAAATCGAAAAACATGTTAAACTACCAAGCAAGGCTTCTGTATATACCAATATATGGTATTGTACTACTCCCTTCTCTTGACCACCCCTTGGCCTTTCTGCATAAGGACGGATTTTTTAATTTTTCGAATAATACGGACGACTAAGACGGCAACGTCTGTAGGGCCTTCCCTATCAAAATAATAAATTCTACTACTACTACTACTACTACTACTACTACTACTACTACTACTACTACTACTACTACCCCTTATCATAGTAATATTATGTTCTTGATAACACAGTAGTTGTCTACAAGTGACAACAAAGAAAACTAACAGCTATAGAAATATTGAGTACTTACACACAAGTTTGAAACGTTCATGATGTCTTCGTTGCAAACAGCCTGTGAGATCCAAAGATATTATGCCACATAGGAACTTGGGTTCCCTCTCTCGACAGCCCTCCTTCTGTTGCGAAATGCCGATTGGTCGTACAGAGAAATACCAGTACTAGTAGTGCTTTTCGGAAAAGCAGGGCCAAAGTGCTTCTTCTCTTGGCAATGGTACTGATGACTGTGAAAGAAGAACTGCGCGGGACTACATGTACCGGGTTCATGCACTCATGCTATACTGTAAGGCTTTGCAAATTTGGTTACATGAGAGTTCAGGCTCAGTTGAAAGTCTGTACGATAAACAAAATGAGTGATACGCACAAAGAGACCCCATATGTAGAGTTGCACACTTTTGCCAGCTTTGGGGGTTACGAAACTCACAGCACGTGTGTCAAATGCGTTCGTACTACGTACAAACGAAGGATAGTGTGCATGCGGTTTTGTTGACAAAACTACAATTACCATAAAATCCCGCCAACAGGCCAGAGCGCCCCTACCTCCTCGACGCTTTGGGGGGGGGGGGGGGGGGGGCGTATGGGCGAGTCCTACTTGCCGCATGCAGTACTGTACTATATTGTACTGTACATGAAAAAGTACTTACCCGGTACCCTACGAAAACCCTTGATTCCAAACCTACAAAAGCCTCTTGTACGGGCAAGAACAAAGTAATACAGATAGCGTGTGTTGAAGAAGAAAATGAGCGGAAACATACTACATTATAGCAATAAAAACTGCTTCATGGCAGTTTTCTAAAAAAAGTTATTGTGTTCTAGTCCATGGACCCCGTCTAAAAAGTAAGAAATTAACGAAATGTGATAGCCGAAAATTAAAATTTCACACAAAACCTCACAATAATCACGACACTTGAAGATCTAATAGTACGGCTTTCAACACTTGTTTATTCCGACACTTGTACTTGTACACGTACATGTACTGCGCCAACATGCTTGCATATGAAAGAGGACCACGAGGGGAAAAGGTCGTCTCGCATCCTGTGTGTGATTATTGTGAGGTTTTGTGTGAAATTTTAATTTTCGGCTATCACATTTCGTTAATTTCTTACTTTTTAGACGGGGTCCATGGACTAGAACACAATAACTTTTTTTAGAAAACTGCCATGAAGCAGTTTTTATTGCTATAATTTCTTTTTTTTTGGCTAAAGGATATTATTATTATTATTTTATTTATTTTACTAGGGTGTTTCCCACAGACCTATGGTCTTCTTACGGGAGCCCCTAGAAAGGTTAAGCATGATCGAACAAATGGGCGATAAGCACGAACAGTGGAAGGCTGCATATTCCACCGATCAGAACCTATAATTGTGTCACCAATGGAATGCCCTAAAATTAATGATGGCCAACATGTAGCGCCTCTACATGTTATTATTATTATTTTATTTTACTAGGGTGTTTCCCACAGACCTATGGTCTTCTTACGGGAGCCCCTATGTACATGTACGTGTATCATTATCAAATTCAATACCGTATTTATACGCATTGATGTGCAAGCCTTTTCTTGCAGAAAATGGAACTAGTCTTGCATACATGTACACTGTATTCAGGTTCTTCTATTATGGGTAGTGCAGTGGCGGTGATACCTTTTTTTATACGCAGGTCATTCTGTGGATGTTGCAGAATTTCATTACTCTGTCATAAAATTGTCTTGTCTTTCAGAAAATTCAGATGTCCACACCCTAAATCACATTTACATGAGAATTGTAACCAAGTGCGTGCCGCAGATGTTTTTGTTGATTCTGTGTTTATAATTGTAGTCATGGGTTGTCGTGATAAGGTCATCTGGCATCATAATTATTGTACTGAAATCGTAATCCTGTTGATGTCGATAAAACTTTTGGAAGCAGTTCAATGACTTGTGTCACAAGTCCACGATTGTCTAAAACAACACAGCAAAGTAGGAACAATAAACATGTATTAAAATGTAAACAAATACATTGCTGAGTCCGACACCTCATTCCAACAACTACACTGATACTGAGGATATAAGGGGCAAGGATATATGGTTGGAGGTACTGAGAGATAAACAAGGCACTCCATAATAATAACATGTTACACGACTTTGGGGGAGTATGAATGATATCCAGTCAAACCTCTTTAGGACGAACATCAAGGGACCGATGGCATTTGCTCTGTGAGTTTGTCTTAACCCTATTTTATAACGAGTGAATACAATTATTTCTCCAATAGAGACACGAATAGATTTCTTCTACAGCGAAAGATTCTAAGCCAGACCAAACCATTGACTCGTCTTTTATGAACCAAATGAGTCACTGAACCTTTCTTTAGCAACATGACGGCAACTGAAACAACAACAGAGAAAATACGATAAATGTACAGCACATTCTTGCAGGTACAACAAACAGAGTGCAGATCGTAATTCTTGCTCTACCGGCACGCAACTTTATTTGGGGCAGTGCAATCTCGGCGCTACTCACAAATCAAACAGCCCAGGCTCGAGTAAACAAATCCAATGGTCCGAGATTTTCACGAGACGAGACTGCACCCATTGGCTTGTTTCGTATGAAGCAAACAAGTCACTGAATGCATGAACCTCTCCATAATGGAGATTTTCCCTGATATGCGAATTTATTTTGCATACTAGTACTCGGCCAATGCGTCCTTGAACCTTCCCCTACAGATTGGGAACTGCCAACGATGCTATGCCACTGCAAAATTCAGATTCTACCCTATGGTCGGGGCACGGAATGCCGGAAGCAATCATGACCAGTGCCTTACTTGTAACGTACCAATGTACAATGAACATGAGTATTTCGACAACACATCTAAGCCTCAGCAGCAACATACAATGTAAGCCTTACTGTCAAGAAGGTGAACTCGCGTTCTTCGCACACTGTTGGCAAGGGCAAAGAGATACGAATGGATCTAAATCCGAATAAAATCAGCACACATTTCCGTAAATGAAAGGGTGAGCATAAGCAAATGAATCGAAGGAAACTGGTCAACTCAGAGATCACCTGTCATTGAGTATTCCGTAAAAGGAGGCCTCGACAGCAGAAAAGCTTTATTTAGAAAAGATATCCTGTCAGCTTTTCCATTATTTATTGTATTCCACCTAAAATCAGCACACTTTTCGTAAATGAAAGAGTCAACACAAGCAAATGAATCAAAGGGAACTGGTCAACTCACCTGTCATTGAGTAATATTCCGTGAAAAGAGGTCTCAGCAGAGCCGAAGCGAAATAAGCCAGGACACGAAATATCCGAAACAGCTCATGCAAGAAGCAGTTCCAAAGAAGGAAGTTCCTCGCGCATGCACATCCGAAAACGGACTGCACTGCATGCAACACAATGTCTGCCGTGCACGTGCACAGCACGCGGCTACCACCCGTTGGTAGATCTAATACCGAGCACCTTACGTAGAAACTTACGTAGCCTAAGTGAAGTACCGAGCACCTTACGTAGAAACTTACGTAGCATAGCGGTGTCGTTTTTTCTGCCATGTGAACACAATAATAGAAAAGCTGACAGGATCGCTTTTCTAAATGTATGCTGTGAAACACGCATGAGGCATGATCAGGACAAGACAGCTGAAAAGAAAAGGAAAGAAAACAAACACACACACACACACGCACTCACACAACAACAACAACAAGTGCCATACGCATGAATGTTAACGGCCAACGCCAAGGCTGTACCCTACGAAAACTGTTCGTGCATCTCGTGCACCGACCAAAAGTCAAGAGCCAGGAGTCGTACAGACCCGTCAAAAATCAGGGTTTGTGCGATCCGTGGCCTGGTCAAGAGGATGGGCATCAGGGAGTAGTACAGTACCTGCTACCTTGGCCGATGCCGAGGCCCGCTGCCCCGTATAACTGACTGCAAGTGGTTCCTAAACCAGTTCCTCATTGTTGTTTCTTTTTTCCCCTCCAGTTTTCTTTTTACGGTATTATAATTTCACGGAGAAGGCGGCGAGCCCGAACGTGTGCAGTTTTATTTTTATTATTTGCCATGGCGACCCCCGTAAGTCCAAATAACGGGCAGGGTTGGGCCTTTTTCTTTCTTCTCAGATTGAAATTCTTACCAGGCGTGGGCCATCCCCTGAAAAAGAAACTGGTATTGTACTACTCCTTGGTGGGCACTGTTACGTACATTTCCAATGGGTCGAACATGCGTCTGCAGTACAGTACGGCATCACAGAGTCATCTGGTCATACGAGGATACAATCAATCACGTCCCTGACAAGAAGTCAGGGAGGGGCGCGGATGGGAGAGATGGGGCGCTCTGACGGGATTTTACGGTATAATTTAGAAAAGCGATCCTGTCAGCTTTTCTATTATTGTGTTCACATGGCAAGAAAAACGACACCGCTATGCTACGTAAGTTTCTACGTAAGGTGCTCGGTATTTCACTTAGGCTACGTAAGTCTCTACGTAAGGTGCTCGGTATTAGATCTACCAACGGGTGGTAGCCGCGTGCTGTGCACGTGCACGGCAGACATTGTGTTGCATGCTGTGCAGTCCGTTTTCGGATGTGCATGCGCGAGGAACTTCCTTCTTTGGAACTGCTTCTTGCATGAGCTGTTTCGGATATTTCGTGTTACAGTGTACGAAGAACGCGAGTTCACCTTCTTGACGGTAAGGCTTTTGTCGAAATACTCATATTCATTGTACATTGGTACGTTACAAGTAAGGCACTGGTCAGTGACATACTATCGTTGGCAGTTCCCAATCTGGAGGGAAAGGTTCAAGGACCCATTGACCGAGTTTGCAAAATAGATTCGCATATCAGGGAAAATCTCCATTGTGGAGAGGTTCAGTAAACTTGTTTGCTTCATACGAAACAAGTCAAAGGGTGCAGTCTCGTCTCGTGAAGATCTCGTACTTGTATGATTGGGTTTGTTTACTCAAGACTGGGCTTTTGATTTATTATTTGTGAGTACCGCCGGGATTGCACTGCCTCAAATAAAGTTTCTTGCCGCCAAAGCAAGAATTACGATCTGCAATCTGTTTGTAGTACCTGCAAGAATGTGCTGTACATGTATCGTACTTTTTTTCGTTGCTGTTTCAGTTGCCGTCATGTTGCTAAAGAAACGTTCAGTAGAGAGGTTCTGCAAAACGAAAATTCGAACGAAGTTTCGCGACAGTCCTTGCGAAAATGTGTACGAATTTTTGCACGAA